GAACTATAAGTCCTAATCATACTTGATGAAGCTCATGGTTCTTACAATAATCTGTATTATTGCTTAGTGTATCTATCAGAAAGATTCTTTTCAAGGATTTGGTCTCTCCTAATGTGTGTTAATTTTTGAAGTGATGGTAACACAAATTTGTCAATAATATATATTTTGTTGTCAAGGTTATATATGGTTGAAAGAGCAACTTTCACATTTAGCAAACATAAAAATCATATTTGTATGTTATAGCTATAGTTTGTATAGTTGCGCTCCATAGCAAACATAAAGTTTGCTATGGAACATCAGATTGTATAAATAGCTGGGGGCATTAGATTTGTATAAAATCGTTGACAGCCTCTCATTTGTATTTATCGTTGGCAGTCTCTCGTTTGTATAAATCGCTGGCAGTCTTTCAATTCAATTTTATGTGTTTGTATATCTGCATAAATTTTGAATTTGTATACAATTGAATCGAAATAAAACGTTTCTATATCAAATCTCTCTCTCTCGCGCGCTTTATACAAACACAAATTATACATTGTATTTTGTATAATCAGTGTTTGTATAAAGCGAGAATGAGAGAAAGACAACAGAGAATTGGGCAGGGAAAGATTTGTATTGTATAATTATAAGTGTATAGGACGAAGATATATGTATTTGCATGTGTATATACAATTTTCTCTCGCTTTATACAAACAGAAACGCAATTTATACATTTGTGTTTGTATAACGTGAGAGAGGCGAGGGAGAGACTGGCGAGCGAGAGATGGAGAGTGGCGAGCGAAAATTTCAGGGAGAGAGGCAAATGACAACAGTTTGCGACGGGTTACAATTAAATCAAACTTTGATTATAGCATTTAATTTGAATTAATAATTTGCTATTACATACAATTTTCCCTAGTTGGAATTTGGACATTGTCGAACTAACGGTCCATTATTAATTTTTTATCCTAAGGGAAGTCTCGGGCCGAGGCTACGATAAGATTGTTTTATTGTGAGTTGTGACAAGTAGGTTATTGATTCAACCTGTGAAAATAGTTGCTTGTAGAGAGGCAAGGTTACATATACTAGACTTAATGTGGTGAAATCTTTTTTTCATCATAGCCATAGGAAAATTGATTATTGAAACTCCATTACCATGGATGTGTGTGGTGTCAAGTACTAATAGCTTGCCTTTTTGTTGTGATCTTAGTTTTATTTTTGTGTCTTCCTTGTTGAATGAAGATATTGGATGTTTTGACTTTTCATATCTTAATTTTGTCACACACAAGAATAAAACAATTTCTCAAATACACATCACCTATTTAATTAAAATGATTGTCAATTTCTACGGTTCAATTATCAAATACTATATTATATTATTATTGCTGGCTTAAATGATTTGAACGTACTATTTTGTCATTTTCAGTAGTTTATAGTATTGCAATTATCCTATTTAAAATCTGAATGATTAAAATTCAGACATATAAAATAGACTGATTTAATAATTGAAATCTAAATAATTAAGATTAAGACCTTAATTAAATGTGAATAATTAAAACCTTATTCTATAATATGTCTATTTGCAGAAAAATCTGCCCATGCTTGTAATTGTTTATATTAATTCAGCTAATAATTAAGAATTTCTGGCGATAACCATTATATATCGAAGGAGAACTAATGTTGATAAAGTTGCTCATAATTGGGAAAATTGTATGAAATAACAAACTAATAATTCAAATTAAATGCTATAGCCATAATATATTTTATTTGTAATTCGCAGAAAACATTCCATTTTTTGCCATCTGATTCGGTATACAATTAGGCATTTTATACATTTCGATATAAAATGTGTTTGTGTTTGTATAAAGCGAGAGGAAAGTGTATATACAAATACATATATTTTCATCCTATATACTGTCATATACACTTATAATTATACAAATGCAAATCTTATTATATAAATTACAATGTATAAATGAATTTATACAAAACTGAACAATTTGTATAAAATTGGATGTATCTAGCGAATTAGACAAATCAAAAGCTTCATAGCAAACATAAAATTTGTTATGGAGCACAATTATGCAAACTATAGTTATAATATACAAATATGATTTTTATGTTTGTTATACTTGAAAGCTGCTCATAATAATTTATAATTATTTTTGAGGTGGCCTTTTAATTTTTTTTAAAATTATTCGTATTATGTTTAAAAACTTAATGATATCACCACAGGGGCATAAATAGTGCTATTTATGGAAACTCCCCCTATTATGATTTTGTTTGAATCATTGGGCTGCTGAACAGGCCCAATTTAGTTTTCAGCCCGGAGTTAGTTGGACCAGTTTAGTTCTCGAGTCTTGTAAATAATCAGGAGTGGGGTTATTTCGACTTCGCCCCTATTTCGTTTTTAATTCTTGTGTCACGGATAATCATATTAGTGCTCTATAGATATAGTTTTGTTATTTGCGCTCTATAGCTATATTTTATTTGCTATAGAGCCTCTGATTTGTATAAATCGCGACGCCAATTCGTCTGTGTCTATGAAAATTGTGTTTGTATATTTACTTCAATTTGTGTATGTATATGTTCTTTGTGTTAAACTTGTCAATTTTATATATATATATATATATATATATAAATGTGTGTGTGTGTGTGTGTGGAATCTTTGTACAAATACAATTTTTTATTAGTTTCATATATATATATATATATATATATATATATAAATTGTTGAATCTGTATATAAATACAAAATTTTATTAGTTGTTATTTGTATATGTATATGTTTTTTGTGTTAGGCTTGTCAATTGTATATGTATACAATAAGTCTCACTTGAATGGCAAGAAAAATGAAACATTAGATGCGAAATAGAATTAAATGAAACAGTAGCGATAACATTTAATTTGATTTAAATGTTTGCTATTATGAATAATTTTCCTAAATTTTTGTCGCAAAACATACATTTATATTTGGGATAATTAAAAATTTTATTAACCAGAATTAGTACAATTTTCATTATTATTTCAATTAGCCAGTCAGCTATCTTAATTTTAACACATTAGCCAGCGTAGGAAATTTCCAACTCCCTTCTAATTACTTTCTTGGAACCTTCCTTTCGTCATACACAGAAGAAAATAACTACTCATTCTGTCCATTTTTATTTGTCATATTACATTTTTCGAAAGTCAATTTAGCTAATTTTCAAAGTTAAATTAGATTACATAATTCGACATTTTAAACAAAAAAATTTAAACTATACGAAAATACTATAAATTGCATTTTTTTCATATCAATATGACGAAAAAACACATCGCAATATAACTGTTAAAGTTTTTATAGTTTGACTCTTAAAAAGGAAACTAGGACAATTGAAAGTGGACGATGACGGTAGCTATGAAGTAAAACATGATTTGCTTTCTTCCAACTTCTTTAAATTACCTCATGCTGTTTCAATTTTGGCATCACTACTAGTCTATTGTTATGCTATTTTCGCCATTAAAGAAAAACAGAGGAGGAAAACGTGAATCATTTTTATAATTTGACATGTCGTAAATGTGAATCGTTTTGAGTGAATATTATATCAAAAGAATCGATACATCCAGAGGAGTTCATATCTAAAATTTTGAATTGTTGGTTGAAATTGAAAAAGTTGACCAACAATGCATACTTTATTGCATCAACAATATATATAGATGTATATACATCTCTGATCTATACACCAGTATACACTATTTATACATTATATATACATATGATCATTTTATTGAAAATAATTTTTGTGTCGGTATATATTGCTAATTTGAGGCAATTTTTAATGTAAATGAAAACTTGACTATATTTGGTGCAAATAAAACTACTTTATATGAAATTATCCCTTTAGATTTTTGCATTACAATATCCACAAGTTATGTTCTACGTCCTTAAAGAGTTTATGTTCCAACAGACACAAGTTTAATTGTTAAGGACAAAAATTAAAGATCAATCCATTTAAAGAAAAAAAAGAAGTTAAAGACCAATGACTAATTAGGCAATTAAATGCTCAGGAGGAATTGGCAAACGAAGAGATAGCTCAGATTTTCTCCATCTAAATTTCGATCATGTGTAAATCAACGATCACGAAAGCTTCTCTACTACTACCTTTCGATCAAGTAAATTCCACTTATTTTTCAGATTTTTCTATATGATGATAAATAAATTGTTTATCATAGTGCAGCTAATTTTGGTAATATCTTATTATTATTATTATTATTAGATGTTAACTGCATAGTGCTTCTGATAAGATTCGAGTCAATAAAAACAATCAATACCTCAAAAAATTATGAAAATTAATTAGGACTTGAAAGTCTAACCTACCGTTGGATTACATGTAATCAACGGTCAGCAGTGGTCATTTATGTTAAAATGAAATGAAATATTAATTAATATTTAATTTCACTACTCAAAATTGAGTGTCATGTGCATCCCTTTGCTTTTACTACAAGGCTTAAAAAAATGAATTTAAAATAAAAAATGTGCCTAGTAAGATGAAAATTTAAAAGGAATAGAGGCTATAAAATTTTGAGCAAATATATGTATTGAAAAAGTAAATCGGAATCAAAAACTTGTGTTATAATTTTAATCCACCGTTCATTTTAATTTGTCAATTGTGTCAAAAATATATTTTCACTTTTACTAATCATTTTTTATATATTAAGAGACTTTTTTTCTTCACATTTTTTTTAATAATAATTACTTATTTTCAGTTTTTTCTCAAAATCTAAAACAATACGTCAATGAATATGATTATTATGCTAAAATTTTCATATTAATCATTAAAACAGAAAGAATGTTTTTAAAATATAAAAAATGATACCCTATCAACATAGATTGAGCCTAAAATATATATAAAAAAATTGTTGAGAGTGTCACCTAAATAATCCTTACTAGATATGCCATTCAAATTTAATGGAAACTCTAATATGAAATCCGAAAACTAAAAAAAGAAAAAAGGAATTTTTTCAAGATGATACCACCAACGGCACAACCCAAAGCACTAGGAGTAATTATCACGACAAAAACAAAGAAAAAAGAAGACGTGAAGTCAACGTTCGACCCACTCCCTTCTCCGCGCCTTTGCTTAAGCTTAATTCCTTGTATGTATTTGGTAATAACATCACTTTTTTGGGCAGGTGAACTGTTTACACTGTCCATTTGCACCGATTTACCCGACTCATAATTTGACCTCAAATGGCATGGCAACAGTTCACCATTACTCTCGTGAGCCTCTCGTTGATCTCTCTGTTGATACGTTACGGCGTCGTTTCCGGTATCCGAATTTCTGATGTTTCCAATATCAGCTCCGGTTTCCTCCCTTCGCCGGCGGACGGCAGCCGTCACACAAACATGTTACTTCCGCTTTTTCCTCCGAAAGACACTTCTCGCCGTGCTGAAATCTCCCGTCGGCACCTCCAGAAAAGCCCCGCCAGTGCTCGCATGTCTCTCCATGATGATCTCCTTATCAACGGGTTCGAATTCGTAGCTATTGCTCAGAATTTAAATTAGAAACTGTTACTAACTATTTTGGTTGCTGATTTCTCAACTTTTGATGCAGATACTATACAACTCATATTTGGATTGGAACACCACCACAGAAGTTTGCTCTTATTGTTGATACAGGCAGTACTGTTACTTATGTTCCTTGCTCTTCATGTGAAAAGTGTGGCAACCATCAGGTTGGTAGTTCATCTCTCAACTATCTCTTTGTGATTTTGTTTTCTCTTTCCTTTTTCTGGATAAATATAGTAAAAGTTACAGATTTATCTTAATTTTCCAGTTGTGTGATTTGATAGCTCAGTAATTTCATAAACAATTATTAAAGAGAGGTACTATGTTAGGCGAACCCAGGATTTGAAGGGCCTCGCGAGCACCAATATTACCTTAACTTAAATATAAGCTCTAAGCTAAACTTAAAATAAAAACAATGAAAAATGGATTTAGCTGGATTCAAACCCTAGTCTGTGATTGCCCCCAAGGCCTAGCTCAAGTGGCAAAAGGTGGAGGATTTGTGGCTTAGGTCACAGGTTCAAGCCCCACACCATGCAAAGCGAAGCCCGGTATTTAAGTGGAGAAGGGTAGAGGGGCGGGCCCATTATCCACCGAGTTTAGAAGGCTGTGATTGGTCCAAAGGGCGGGTCACAGACGGATTTCTCGGTTATCAAAAATTAAAAAAAAAACAAAAAAAAACCTAGTCTGTGATTCCTCTGGCTTGTACTAACGGCACAAGGGAACTCATATGCTCCTCATGAGTGCACTGTTAATTATATCGTAGTTTCTGTTAATTTCTCAAGATAGAATTACATATATACACATAATTTTTTCCGAAGTTGACGGGTGCACGTGCACCCCCATTTACAGGTATGGGTCCGCCTCTGACTATCTATGTTTTTCACTTAGAATTGTGTGGCGTTTTGATTTCTTTCTTTTGATCTGTGGTACTATGTATGTTTTCTTACTTAGGATCCTAAGTTTCAGCCGGAAAAGTCAAGCACTTATCAATCTGTGAAATGTGATAAGACTTGTCCCTGTGACCTTAAGAGGCAGCAATGTATTTATGAGAGACGGTATGCTGAGATGAGTTCAAGTTTCGGGTTGCTTGGAGAGGACGTCATATCTTTTGGAAATCTAAGTGAGCTTGGACCACAACGAGCTGTTTTTGGATGTGAAATTGCGGAAACTGGTGATCTTTACAGCCAACGTGCTGATGGAATAATGGGCTTGGGTCGAGGGGATGTCAGTATAGTTGATCAACTTGTTGGAAAACATGTAATCAGTGATTCTTTCTCCTTGTGCTATGGAGGGATGGATTTTGGTGGTGGGGCGATGGTTCTTGGTGGAATAAAACCCCCTGCTCACATGGTCTTTACCAAATCATATTTTGGTCGCAGGTATGTATTGGAAATAATTGAATATATACATAGGAATGTTAGGTCCTCCTAACAAATACACTTGATAAATCTTACGCATTTACTCTAGTCTCGGATGGCAACAGCCCGTACTACAATATTGAGCTGAAGGAGATACATGTAGCTGGGAAGCCGCTGAAAGTAAATCCTCAGGTTTTTGGTGGAAAACATGGGACTATTCTTGATAGTGGTACCACCTATGCTTACCTTCCAGAAGCAGTATTTGTAGCTTTCAAGAGTGCTGTAAGATATTGTTATCTACATATTTGCCAATGTTTCTGTCATTTGTTTGATTCAAATCTGCCTGAGAAAACGAGTAGTAGCAAAAGAACATGCTATTGGTGAGAAGATTTTCCTGAAGAAATTAAAAATTATCAACAATTTGCTTGTGTAGGTGACGATCCAGTATTTTCTGAAACCTTATGTAAGGAATTACAAAACAAATTCACTTAGAAAAATATTCATGTTAATGTTGTGTTTTTGATTATGTAGGTCAATCTATTAATTTTTGTTGTTATTCAAAATTTTGCTTACACCACTGATTGGTGTCACAAACCACCATGTCCTAATCACGGATCAACCTGTAGTCGGAGATTCCTATACATGTGTGGGACAGGAACTAAAATCTCTTAGTCAATAATAGTTTGTGAGCCGATACTTTGTTAGGTATTTCCTTGCCAAAAAAATAAAAAGCTTTGTTAGCTACTACATATTTTTGAAAGAAAAGGAATGACCCAAATATCTCTTGATCCTGTAACTCCACAGTCTAATATTGTTCCTTCTTTTGCCGCCATCTTTTCTGCTATCAAAGGACATAATTTTCATTGCATAACCACTTATTATGGTTGTTTCATGTTTTAAATTTCTCAATTTGGTAATATAACACTTCCAAACCTGATTTGTAGAACGTTGTTTTTTTAGCCGAGGAGTTGGTGCTATCTTATTTTTCGTTAGTAAAACTCTAGTTAAAAGAGTTCAATTGTGCAATTGAGAGAATGAGAATTTGAGCCTATTGAATAGAGTCCAAGTATTTTTTCTCTCCTAATTTTTAGTTTTTATTTTTTCCATCAGAAACAACCTCCCTCCTTACCCCTCAAAGGTAGGGGAAAGGTCTGTGTACATCCCACCCTCCCCAGATTCCACTTGTGGACACACTGGGTATGTTGTTGTTGATGTTAGCAGGTAGTAATTTTCGTTATATTCAGAGTTCCTTGCACGCTTCTAGACATCTTTGATGTTGTCTTGCATTGCTTTTGCTGTGTTATATTTAGTGACGGGATAAGTGGATCACTAGTGGGTAATATCTTTAAATGCAACTAAGTCTATTCCTTTCTAGAATGAACCTCTCAACTTTTCTTTTCAGGTAATGAAAGAGCTTCATTCTCTAAAACAGATCAAAGGGCCTGATCCTAGTTTTAATGATATCTGCTTTTCAGGGGCTGGAAGGTATTAAACGAAGAGTTCTGAAATTAATTTGGTGTCTATGATTTTCTTGTTTAAATTTGTTTTCTTCCTATTGTTGGTGCTACCCATATTATTAATATGTTATATATTCCAGCGACGTGTCACAGCTCGCAAAGAACTTTCCGCCTGTTGATATGGTTTTCAGTGATGGAAATAAACTAACTATCTCTCCTGAAAACTACTTGTTCCAGGTAGGCATCTTATTCTTCTTTAGTACTTTGTTATTTATCTTGCCTGATGCTATTTTGGCTTCAGATCCACTGGCTTCTTTTTCTTTTTACTATTTTGTATTGATTATTTCCCCCCTTTTCCAATGTAACTTGTATGCTTTAAAGCATTTCAAAGTACGTGGTGCTTATTGCCTAGGAATTTTCCCGAATGGAAAGAATCCAACTAGTCTTCTTGGAGGTACTTCTCACTACTTGACAAAGTTCATCTTCCTAACTCTTCCAAGCTGAAATATGCATGCTTTTAATTGCAACAGGAATCGTTGTTCGCAACACTCTTGTAACTTACGATCGTGAAAATGAAAGAATTGGTTTTTGGAAAACTAATTGTTCAGAGCTATGGGATAGACTGAATTTATCTCCTCCTCCACCTCCATCTCCATCTACACCAGTGCTTTCAGACTTGCATAACCCAAACTCCACTGCACATATGTCTCCTTCACCAGCTCCTAGTGGACCTCCTCGGTACGATATACCTGGTATGAAGAGACAACTTTTCTCCACATAGTATTTCTAAATTCTACTGGAAGGTTACTCTTCCCATTAGGGTGCTGTCATAACTAGAACTGCATTTTTTTTTTAGCATTTCTACTAGGAAGTTCTGAATCTGTATAGTTTTTTGTTTTTTTTTTAATCAAAATTCTGAATCTGTATAGATTAATACAATTGGTCTTCTTCTTAAAATAAAATGAAATAGATCAATACTGTCGTTTCCTTTTCAAATTTCAATCTTATGAAAGTGAGGATCAAGTTTAGATTTGCATCTTGCTAATGTTATGATGTATTGCCTTTGATCAAATCACTTTTGACTTTTGACAATTGAAATTTTGCCTCTTACCCTTAGGTCCAGGAATGCTGCTGTCTTTATATTCCCATTCATGTTGACATATGACCTTCCATTCATGTAGTAAATCATCTAGTTTCCCTGGCATGCCAAACTTCATAAGAAGCAACCGTCTGTTTAAAATTGTTCTGATGTCATGACATTCTCAATCTTCTTTTAGCTGAAGAAAGATTTAATTAAATTGGAAATTTTTAATAACGACTTCAAGGAATACTGAAAACCCTTGGTTCCCTTTTATCCCCTTTCCGCTTTTTGTCCAACTCTCTGACTTTGATTACAGATTTACTCAGATCTTAAATAGGCTAGACAACATTTATTATTTTGTTAATCCACAACTCATGTGATTGGTAAGCTAATTTCCAAAGCAATGTGTTCATCTTTTTGGGATATTTTAGTGGACAACAGTATTTTACTACATAAATGGTCATTTTGAAATTTGCTATTCGTAAAGATGACACTTGAAATACAAATATGTCGTTGGTTAGCTAGTTTTGTTTATTATTGGACTTCTGCAAAATTCGGTAACTTGAAGGTTTAATGAGTAAAGTTGAATAGTTAATGGAACATGCACTGACCATATGCCTGACTGTCTGAAATTCACTCCACTAAGTTATAGTAATCAATTGTCAAATTTCTGGTGAATTTTGTGACAAATACTCTGAAGTCTGAACGATGACAAGCATGAGAATTTTGTGGTAACTTCCTCGAGGGAAGGAATGACAATCTCCAAAAGTTTCATGCATAATAATTTCCTGTTTTCACTGTTGAACATAGGCATGTTTTTTACCTAATTTCAGTTTGATGAATCTCATCTATCTTTGCATAATCTCAAATGAGCTGACTTTTATCTTCCGAAAAAATTCTCAAGATTTCATTTAGTTTTGCTAGTGTCCATTAGAAATACTTATCATTGTTATCAAATTCATCTTTGACATCAACTTGCAGTGGAGATTGAAATTGGGCTCGTTACATTTTACATGTCACTAAGTGTCAACTTCTCAGAGTTGAAGCTACGGATTCCAGAACTTGCCCATTCCATTGCCCAAGAGTTGGATGTTAATGTTTCACAGGTAATTTTGGCAGAACCACTTTTTTCTCTTTTGATAAGTTACACCTTCATTTAATCAAAACAGCATTGCCAAGCTGCATATATTTTGGCATAAACAGAATGTCTGAGATTTATTCTTTCCAAGGGGGTCTAAAGATGCCATGCTACAGTACTAGTCCAAATTAAACTGAGAAGTAAGAGCTTGTAATTGAAGTTTGTTGTTGTTGTTGTGGGGGTGGAGGTGGTTGGGGGAGGGTTTGAATAGGTAGTTTCTTTTCTTGTTGAGCATTTACAAGCAAGTTTTGGCAACCTACGACATAATAACACAGGAAATGGCTATGCAGAACTAGGGGTTTGTGAAGTTAGTTTTGAGAAGTCCTTTTTATTAGTATGATATAGCTTAGTTCAGAAAAACTTCAAAACTCAAGCTTCAGAAAGCCTACCTTATCTTGCAGCATTTCAATATAATATTTGAACGTCTTATTTCTTGTATGTTACTCAATCTCCACTGGTCTTGAGTTTTAACTTTATTACACGTGATATGTCAATCATCTATGTCTTAACCTCAAGCAAGGTTTGGAGCTATACAAATTCTCATCAAGGATTGACTATTTTTATGATGATCCTTAACCTATGGCAACTCAACTCTTTTATCCGGACTGCACTGACTATGCTTTCAAGTAGGTTGATTCAACCTTATTTCACATGATGATGTCACTTACCTTGCAGGTTCGCTTAATGAACTTTTCAACAAAGGGAAATGATTCCCTCACTAAATGGGGTGTCTTTCCAGCAGGATCTACAGACCTTATGCCAAATGCCACTGCAATGGTGACTTAGCGTTCTAAAATATGTATTGCTATCCTTTGAGTTGAAGAATGTGTATTTATTCATGATATATTATGCAGGAAATAATAGCTAGGTTGGCTGAACATCATCCTCATCTAAAGGATTCCTTTGGAAGTTATAAATTGTTCAATTGGGGCATTGAACCTCCACCAAAAAGGTATACAAGCAATTACTTCTGTCTCTTTTGCTAATTCCTTCATTTGTCTACCCTTCACAGTTCTTTATTCTCTCTCTCTTTCTCCACCATTCCTTTTCCATGGTAGTTTCATCTTTTTCGTGCCTTGTGTGCTGTGTTAATAATATGATATCACATCCTTGATTTGACATGATTTTAATTTTGTAGGAAGCATTGGCCGCGAAATTACTTGCCCCTAGTAGTACCATTTTTAGTTGTTTTGATAGTTGGACTATCAGCTCCTATTGGATGGTTAATTTGGAGGCGAAGGCAAGAACGGGCTCTAACTTATGAACAGGTTGGAAGTGTTGAAACTGTTACTCACGAGCAAGAACTACAGCCGCTAAAATGAAAGGGAATTATTTGCCAAGGATGGTTCATGGTAAAAAGGAAATTTTGAAGTGGAAGTGTTGATCTCTTATACAGACAGATTCATGATTTGAATTTTATGGGTTCGAGTTCGGAATTCTACCCCAACCCATATGGTTGTTTATTGGGTTTGCGATCTATTATTTGTACTTCAGTAAAAAAATAATTTACACATATATAGGGTTAGGAACTTAGGATAAGTTAAATCTGTCCTTTTGTTCTTCATACCACTACCACATCGTATGCTGCTTCTTTCTCTATTCTTATTGTGGTGTATTTCATGACAGTTTATGCACACATTCATTTTTCTATCAGGTGCCTGTATTATTTTACCTGCATAAATACCAAAGTATATTTATGAAACTTAGAAAGAATCTAGTCTTTTATTTTTATACTTTACAAGGATTGGAGAAGAAGTAGAAATCCAAGTTAACAGTAGCAAGGGTAATAGAGAGTTGTAATCCATGCTTCTCGTTTAAATTATGTCTTTCGAGGTGTAGAGTGTAGACATGCCATACAAATGTAAGAATCTAGTAAATTACTTGAGCCAATAGTCCTTTGAAAATAGCCTCATTACAGACGAGGTAAGAGTGTACACTCTACTCTTCTCAGACCAGTAGGATGTCAGTGAGTGCTGCTGTTGTTGTAAGAATGTAGTAATTAATCTCTAGGGAAGATACGATCTTAGTATGCACAATAATGAATTCGCGTAATATAAATATGGCTGTTACAAGTTAATACTAAAGTCAGCTACAGCTATGTGAATGCATGAACGATGAGATGTGAAATTTTGACTGTTGATTAAATCGAAAAATTATTAAAGTCACCCAGCTCAACAGCTGCGCAAGAAGAGTCATTCTTTTTTATTTTTCGTAAGAAAAGAGATTTAATAAAATGGACCGAAAAATACTGTCCTAATGAAAATACATGAACCCTTTGGTAATTTGAGACTGAATAAATAAGCTAACACCATGAAATTGAACGTTGATAAATTGCGGAGAGACTCTCCAATGATATTCCTCTAGGAGATATGAAAACAAGGCCCCCCACATTATTACACGAATTTTTTTGTATAGATAGAAAGAACATCCCTTCTCCAGCTATGTTGTATTGAAACACCTGAAAATTGCATACGTAGGAACAGGTTAAAAGTAGTAAAGAGGACTTCTTTTTTCACAGCCTAAATTGGTGAAAAAGAAAAATCAAACTAATGCACAACCGCAAAAAAGACCTTGATAACCAAAAAAATGAAAGAAGGTAAAATTGAAGGTGAGAAGAACCTGGAAACTATATATTTAGCTCTTCTCATAGGTTGGTATGGGCACTCCTGAATCTTTTGAGAGATTCTTGTAAGCATTTTGTAATCTCAGTGTTATAGGTCCTACTCGACCATCACCAACTATACGTCCATCAATTTTGACAACCTGTCCATGCAAGGAACAAAATAGTTCCTCAGTATGATAGTAAAATCAGCACGAATAAGTTAAACACCAGAATACTCAGTGTCATCATGTCAATGGTAAGATTCAGATTTTCAGCTCAGAGAATTGAACACACTTTTGAGTGTTGATAGATTTATTTATGACCTGCAGACTCAAAATAATCTATTTTGACAGGCCAAAATTATGTGAATTAGGATTGATCCTAATTGAAAACCAAGCCAAGGATCCTTAGGTGAACATATTTATTGCAATTCTGTATGACTGAGTCAGCCACATGACACTAAAGGTTTAATTCAATTCAAGACTTTGAACCTACCGGGCTCAGCTCCCCCATAGTTCCTGTTGTCCACACCTACAGGAAGTGAAAGATTCATATTAGAGGAGGCAAAAACAGAAAAATGGCGAGACAACCAATGGTGGTGGTGATGGTCGAGTCAAACTTCACTAGTGACAGTAAAAATGAAAATGAGAAGCTTCGTCTTAACACAAACATTTTTCAACACTAGATAGCAAGAAACAGCTAAAACCAAAGAAGAAGGCATCTCCAAAACAAGTAGTATCATAAATAATGGAACGGAAGAAGCATAATTGTGTAGGAATTAACTTTGCAAAAGGTGTTCTCGAAGCACACAATATATGCCCTCAAATTACAGACTTAAGAGTTGGACTGCAAAAATATCCTTATTACTTCGGGTCAGTGAGAAAACAAGAAAGTGGGCATCTTTTATGCATAATGATTGCATGGACCAAAGAGTGGGAAAACTAAACTTTCCTGAAAATGCTTAGAACATCTTTAATTCAGTAATGTCAAGCGTAAGAATCGCGAAGCTTGTATTCTGTATATTAATGAATTCAAAAAAGGAATCCACATTGAAACCAAATGAGATGAGAGTCTCAATAATAGTTGATATGGAATGGTTAATTCCTTCATGATTCATGATATATACATTTGGTGCAGTGATTACCTAGCCCATCAATACAATATACACACAATTTTCAAAGTTGAATCTAAAACAAATATAGAAACCTCATATAACGAATAATAAATATTTACTTTCGACTTTTTTTTCCAGGCCAATGATATTGTCTTGATAAGAAAACAAAATCATTGACTTAAATAAGATAAGGTTGGAAGAAAAACACCGGGCATAAGGAGTTTGTAGAAGTTGTTGGTATGAAGAATAAATATTGAAATAAATGAATTTACCCCTAAATAGATATAACCTCTTTTTAGCTATTTGTATTTGTAGTTACACTAGTTTTGGCACAGAGATGCACAATAAAGAGGTTTTCATCTGATTTTTATATTCAAAAAACAGCCGCAAGCTTCCTCAATATGGGGGTGGGGTGGGGTGGGGGGTTGTTGTGACAGTAGGCACAATGATAGATTATCGGTGCTACCCCAAACACTATTGCATTACTGCTGCTCTATTCAATTTTAGAGATGCAGTAGATGCTTAAAATGGTATTCAAGCTAAAGTAAAGTTTGTCAGGAATGGTTTCTCCAGAAAATGGAGTAGGTTGAGTTGTGTGATAAGAATGATGCATACACTAAATGCTCCGAAAACCATATTCAAGCAAGGTGGAATACTTCCACCTTGTGTTAAAATCCTTCATTTCATAATTTCTCAAGCAGCTTCCTTAGACACATTTACAAGCAACATAATTTACAATGTCTGGAGCTTATCTTTAAGAGAAAAAAGGTTGTTGGGTAATGCTTGAAACAAATTTTCTAGGTTTTCAAAGAACAAATGCATAGTTAAGAGTATACACCTCATCAGCAGTGTGAAATTCTGATAAGCTAATTCGTCGCTCCTCTAAAGCTAAACTTTCCTTCAGCACAAGCTCCATGACCTGCAAAATATATTGTTGATCATCAAGCAGATAACTCTAAAAATTTATCACTTCATCAAAGACTAAAGAGGGGAGAGAGGGAAAGAAACAAGAAGAGATCTTCTAAAACTTACTGTTGCTCTAGTTATGCCAGGAAGGCAATAATCAGCATGAGGTGTCACGACACGCCCTTTCTTCACTAAGAACTGCAAAGGGTAAAATCATAAATTTTATCAAAGATAGGAGAAACACAAGATCTGATGGTTAGTAATAAAGTAAAAGAAAAAAAAATGCTCAAACCATTGCAATGAACTAAATGACCACAGAATTGTGTGAGAATGTGCTTTTGAGTTTTGTGGTTATACCACCAAACACAGGCAGATATTACAGAACAAAAAGGGAATCTGTTGGAAAGGACATGCAATGACCTTCCCTAAAGTGTGGCTTGCCTCCTGAGGGATAGAGATGGGGAACCTCAAAGAGGAGGTAAATGAGCTTACTATATTTGTAGCATTAGTTTCTGACACATAGCCATCTTTATCAAGCATGATTGCATCATCAGCCACAGCATTATTACCTTCTATCTGCACCAGAGGAGAAATTGCTGTCAATTACAGCCAGGTGGATGCACACAAATCATACAGTGTGGTAGTGTGACAAAGACAAGAAACAACTGCAATTTCTAACGAATGCCTGGCCTTCACCAAACTGGAGTTGCCTTTGTATTTCCACATAGTATAATGATCACAATTTAAAATTGTCAAGAAGCAGTTGTCCAGCTACTAAACCATATAACAATTCTTCCGTCATCCCAGTTAACTGTTGATGTCCAACTTTTTTACTTGCATTGATATTTTTGATTGGCATTTAAACATTTCATAATCTTAATTAGGGAGTGGGATAAACATTTCACGTGCTTCCAGCTTTACAGCTGATCCAACAAAATTTTAGCTGCATAACCAATCAATTTGACTCTTAAAGGGAAATTGCTATAATTTCTTAATATAAAGTATTTAAAATGCAGAGGGTGAGATAAGAATCTGCAAGCAGACATAAAACTGAAGAACTGTCAATATGAATTTCTGGATCGCAATTACGACTTCCTCACAATAGAAAGATTATGTAAATACTCATTGTATTGATTTGCATAGAGAAAAATACCTTTGCAAGAATGTTGTTGAGAAGGTTGTTATGGTGAATCTTTGAATCCAAATTCTGCAAGGGAAACAACAAGTCGTTACTTTAAGACAAGAGGTACCCCAAACACAATTTTATTAACAGTGATCAAAAGCTCAGAGTAACATGAACTTCATTGTTTTTTCACTTAAAAGATAGTTCAAGGAATTATGTATCGCTTTCCTCAATCTTTGGTTTTAAGATAGTAGCAGCAACAGAAAAGCAAGTTATTCCACTTCATTAACTAGGAAGCATAGATCATTAGATACCTTAACCAAGGATTAAATATAAATCATGAGAAGAAATTACAATCCATGGCCAACATCATCTTGTGGGGTTATGGACATGGTTGGGAAGGAAGAACATTAAATCATGGTTTTATTCTCAGCAATACATCACCATCCTTACTTGGACTCAGTATCAAGTTTGTTCTAAAGGTACTCTAGAACAGGCTATTGATAAAGCTAATAGAGAATGATCTTTTAAAATTGGCTCAAGTTATGATGGAAGAGTCTGATGAAGGAATTTGGAAGTACAGGATCCACATGATGGTGCTAAAGTGTAGATAAACTGAAAACAGAGAAGAGTAACACAATGTCAAATTTTCTATCCTTCTTTTATTTTTCCTTAATTTCAGGCAAACGGAAGTTCCTCAGGATACCTCAACATAATCATGCTTTATGATAGTTATCTCGACTGTAACTGACAAAATGTCAAGTTGTCACTCGTCATTTTAAGAAATGATCACTATTAACATGCACTGTACAGTTAAATCAAGTTAAAGACCAATGAGAGGATGAGCAACCAACTCCAGTAGAGAAAACAAGAAGCACCAAAAACCGTCTTTTCTAAATTATAAGAGATAAACAACTAAGAGCGAAATTGTTTCACCAGATATGGAGCCCTGATATT